ATTTTTATCTTCACTTGTCATCTAAACTTCAAAATCTAAGAAAAGATTAAGCTATTAACTATATATTAAAATTAAAAAATAAATTAAAAGAGCACATTAACAATAATAGCATTAATTAATTTTTTCATATATTATAATTATAAATTCTTAATAGACCCAGGTCGGCCTAACAGGCTTAACAGGCTTTTTAAAAAGCCTAAGCCTGGCTTGTTTAACTAAACAGGCCTTCAAACAGGCCTGAGCCTGTCTTTTTTGAGAAACAGGCCAGGCCAAGCCAGGCCAAATACAAGCCAGGCCATAGGCCCCTGACAGGCTGCCTGGCCTGTTTCCACCCCTATCCGCCAATACATCTCTTCCCCACATGCATTGCAACTTTCTAATATTATTATATATCATCACTTTAATTATATATATGTATAAATTATTCTGTATCGGTAAAATATAGAGATGTGTTGCATAATAAAATAATAATAATAAACGTAAAATAGCTTTATACTGTGTATCATCAACAACCAGCAAAGGTCTCATGATCACACTCTCGCCTCACTAAAGTAAAATTACAAAATACAATATATATTTCCATTAATATATTTTCTTTTTCTCTGTTTTTTTTTGGTGGCCAACTTCCATTAATATATTTTCATTTCCATTACAATAAGAGGAATTTAACTAATTAATGACATTTTGCTGTTAAGTATCGAATAAAACATACCAGAGGACCAGAGGTCAACGCACAGAAACAGAGGAGGCCAGAGAGAAACAAAGTTACGTAACGGGCGAGGCAGTACTTGATCGTGCTCTCTGTGTGGCATGGCGAAGAAAGCAGTCTTGATCGGATGCAACTACCCAGGGACGAAGATCGAGCTGAGAGGCTGCGTCAACGATGTGAGGAGGATGAACAATTGCCTGATTGAGCGTTACGGATTCTCCGATGACGATATCACCGTCTTGATCGACACCGATCCCTCCTGCATCCAGCCAACCGGGAAGAACATACGATCGGCAATCAAGAAGATGGTACGGTCGGCGGAGCTAGGGGACGCTTTGTTCATACACTACAGCGGCCACGGCACGCGCCTCCCCGCCGAGACAGGGGAAGCCGATGATACCGGTTACGATGAGTGCATTGTTCCTTGCGATATGAATCTCATCATCGGTAACCTCACCTTTCCCTCCTTTTCCAATCATAATTTTCGGTGACAACTAAAAATAAACTATACAATGAACAATTTTGGCCAGGTCTCATCATCTTACTTAATATGATGATTTGTATTGATGTTTTAAAATTATGTACATATACTCTGGCCAAAAAAAAAAGTACATATGCACATAATTTTCAATAATATTTATTAATGTAAATTAAACAATTAGATTATGAAGAAAAGATAAATAAAAAATAAAATAGCTACTTTTACATTTTAGATCAAACATTTGAATTGATGCAATATATTTTCATTATTGTGCACAATATTGCATAACTATTTCTACCGGAAACAGGCATAAATATCATTACATTACATAAGTTTTGCCGCTTGCATATAAATAACAAAAGAAATATGTAAATGTATTCTATCTTATATGACCAATACAGCAACCGAGGTATTAAAAACGGAGAAAGAAAAAACAGGGGGGGAAAGGGCAGAGACAGAGCTACCCATTAGCTTTAAGACAGAAACAGAAGCATCAGAATTTCAGACGGAATCCTTAGATTTAATCATGTTAAGGGTGCAATGGCTTATTTCAAAGTAATCACCAGAAAAAAAAAGTCCCAATACTCGAGTCAGAATGGGGGGGGGGGGAATTGATTCTTATATTGAAAGAGTTATTTCTACTCACAGTAAAGTTACCTGCAGTTGGATTTAGAAATGCTTAAATCTAACCAATATGATATGGTGGTGAAAGGGAAGGGGGAAGAGTAATCACCAAAGAGAATCGGTTTGTGGCCAGCTTTACACAGATTCAAATGTCAAAATGCTAAATGAATGTTTGCATAAACAGATGATGATTTCAGAGAATTTGTGAAAGAAGTCCCAGAAGGTTGCAAAATCAAAATTGTAGCAGATTCATGCCACAGTGGTGGCCTCATAAGAGATGCGAAGGAGCAGATTGGAGACAGCACCAACACAAAGATACAAGAACAAGGCAATTATCACCAAGATTTAGGCTCTAGTTTTGGATTCAGAAGATTTCTTCTTCAAAGAATGGAGCAAGAAATTGAGTCTCGTGGAATCCACATCCCTTCTGCATTTCGTCAACGTAGAAGACGACATCATGAGGAAGAAGACAAGGAGGAGGAAGAAGAAGAAGATGAGATTGAAATGCTCAAGCAGAAAACCGGGAAAGATGATATAGATGTTGGGAAATTGAGACTCACCCTTTTCGATATCATTAAGGAAGACGCTAGCCCTAAAGTGAAGAAGTTCATCAAGTTTGTCTTCAACAAGCTCCAACACCATGGAGGTATGTAAAACAATAACCGAGAGAGAAAAGTTATTTGTTTTATCTCTTATGGGGTGATTTAGCATTGATTGGTTATCAAGTATCAATTTAGGTATTTAGTCCTCTAGTATTGGACAAAACTCAAGTACTTAAGTACAATTCCCAAGCATGTATTAAGTTTTTTCTAAAATAAAAATATGACTATTCAATTTCTGTATTGATTCAGCACCATATGTTTGAGAACTGTGATTTCCCCTTACCATTTCCATATTTTACTAATCAAGAGGTGAAAGTGAAAAACAAGAGGGTGGATTCTTGGAGATGGTAGGAAGTCTTGCCATAAAGTTTCTGAAACAAAAGCTGAATGAGAATGAAGAGTATGCAGAACCTGCCATGGAAACAAATGTAGCCAATAATCAAGAGGTAGTCTCAACACTCAATATCAACTTATCCATTTTTTGTCTTTAAATTAGACTGGATGTCAATCCTACCCATTAAATGTCTTTATATGAACTGTGCTATTTCCTATAGATTTATATTATGATCTGGACATGAGATGTTTTTGGTTATTTACAAGGTATATGCTGGAACTGGAAAGGATAGGGTTGTAGGTGGGGGAATTCTGATAAGTGGGTGTCAGAGCGATCAAAAATCAGCGGATGCGAATCCTCCTGGGAATCCTGGAAAAGCCTATGGAGCTTTCAGCAACGCAATTCAGTTAATCATTCAGGAGACCGATGCTCAAGTCACTAATCAAGAACTGGTTTTGAAGGCTAGGAAGCTGCTCAAGAGTCAGGGTTTTACTCAGGAGCCTGGACTCCATTGCAGTGATCACCATCTTCATCGCACTTTTGTGTGCTAACTAAAGGATACCAAAAACGAAATCATAGTTCTAAACCGATTGAAACATATACAACCTCTTATTTTAAGTATAAGAACTAGTTGAAGATTCAATTTGATCCTTAATATAATAACACAATTTATTTTGTCTTTCATATTTATTTATTTTTTTCCCCAAACTAGTCCCATTGTGATTGCCCATATGAAAAAGTTTTCATTTTGCTGCGTATAATTAACAAAAGTATTTTAGAAAAAATAACGCAAATAACGCATATTTATTACAAATAACTAACTTAACTAATTTTATTAATATTTCACAAATTAGTTATTTAGCTCTTATAATAATGATTGATGGTAATATATTAACAATGAATTGTAAAGGTAGTATATAGTTGAAAGTATTGATTTGCTGCAAGTATTCAATATGTGTCAGATACTCGAAGTTACTGTATTTAACGGATTGCAACACTGGCTTTGATTTGTAAATGCAAGTTTTCTTCCTTATGATAAACCTATTAATTATATCTTTATAATTATCAGTTTATAATTTGTCATTTTATTTACAGCATTATATAACATTTATAAGAAGAAATGTTGATCTCCAGATTACTTTTTGAGAAGAAAAATGCATAACAATTGACTTAATACGTTATGATTTCTGCATCCTCCTGGTAGCTTTATTTCTTATTTTAGACAATGAAAAAAGAAAAAGATGATGACACAAGTTTCATGGAAATTAACAAGAAAAGAAAATCTCACCAAAGGAACCTGAAGATTATGAAATCTTAAATCAGGATTGTTTCATATTTTAACAGGTTTTGACTAGACTTATAAATACTAACACATTTTTGTATAAATTTTTGATTTCAGATTTAATAATTTACAGTTTCCTTTCTGTGGGATTTTCTCAATTAACAAACTCAGAGAAGAAAAGAGAAAAAGAAATCATTGTAGGATATATCTTCGTCAATGGGCTCCTTTTAATTGCCCAACATAGAGAAGACATGGCAATATCAAGAAATGGGCAGGTTATTTTCCATATTACGAGTAGCTCTTAAATCGGGTACATTATGATCTTGGCCTCATATGTGTTTGTGGTGAAGTTAATCTTCATTCTATTATGACTTGCTGCAATTTTCTTGTTTCAGAATGTCTAAAGGATAGCTGCCACTACCTTTTGGCTGGTCCAAGTGAGACAGATTGAGCTGTCTTGGTCTTAGTAGAATGATATTGCATGTGCTTTCACCTTTTAGCCAAAGATATTGCATATGCTTTCACTTTTTAGCCAAAATATCACCCTCATCTCATTTTATTTCTTGGCCTAACATCTCATTTTGTTTCCAAAAATGAGTGAATTAGCAATTGATTGGCTAATTTAGTTTTCAGTACTCTGAGATCAACAAATGTGCAGGTTAAGAAATTTGTACTCATTAACTTTAGAATTCTTTATGCTAGATTGGCACGACCACTAAAGAAGCAAATTGTTAGTTTACTCTTTGGAAATGCTACCGTGAACTGAAACTCTAACTTTGTTGTTTAACTCTCAACTGGCCCACATGCTATGATATCTGCATGGGTGTAGCTAGAGGTTCAGCTTACCTTCATGAAGAGTCTTGCCTCCATATTATACACGGTGATGTAAAAGCTAGTAATATTCTACTTGATCATGAGGTTACCCCTAAAATATCTAATTTTGGTTTGGCCAAATTATATGACTATAAAAAGACCCATATAAGCACTTGTGTGGCTGGGACAATGTAAGTCATCAAGACTTGAATTCCTTGTTCTTTTAGGTTGGATAAATTTTATGCATGTTTTATTTGTTTATGCTAACACTTGAATATTTTTGTTTTGATAAACTCTTAATAGTGGATATCTTGCTCCTGAGTATGCTATGCGTGGGCACCTTACAGAGAAAGCATATGTGTTTTCCTTTGGCATTTTGGCCCTAGAGATAGTTAGTGGGAGGCCAAATTCTGATTCAAGCCTGGAAGGGGAGAAGATATATCTCCTTGAATGGGTATGTGCTACCTCTCTGTTTCCTCTTAGTATTAGGATCCATTCAGTTTCTGGAAACATTTTCAGTTGTCATACTCTATTGTGAAACATTCCTAGACAACTAAGTGGAACATGTCTAAATGCATCCAATATCAATTGAATAATACTTAAATCACTTGATGGGGATTGTGAATTGCTCCCTTTATTCTGTATAAGTTCTTATGTGTTCTCATCGTCAAATTACCCTTCCTTTACTTCATTCCATATTCTTTAGCAGTGACACTTAACATAGAGAATCTTGTCCAATCTCCAACTCAAAGTGTTGACGAGTAAGGACATCATTTGATTCTCATCTTTCCATTTTTTGAAAACTCTATCCTTAACAGCTTAAAGGAAAAAGCATTCTATTTGTCTGTTCCAATGGTTTATGGGCCTTGGCTTAAGTAGTTTTAGTTATTTCTAGGTTGATAGACTTGGCAGCTGCATGAGAACAACTGTATAATTGGACTGGTGGATCCTAGACTATCAAAAGATTTCAATGAGGAAGAAGTAAAAAGGAATGTTGGTATATCTCTTCTGTGCACTCAAGCATCACCATCGCTAAGGCTGGCGATGTCCTGTGTCAAGGCAACACTGTCTAGAGATATCAAAGTGAGCACTGTAACTGCAAAGCCTGGATACTTGACAGACTGGAAATTTGATGATGTGAGCAACTTCATGACTGGCAGGGCCACAAAGGGATCAACATCAGGTACAAGTCAATATAACTCATCCCCAACTAGCAGCACAGTTAGTGGTCCAACCAAATCACCTGGAGATGCTTCTAAGCCCATCCTTCATCGCATTTTTGGCAAAGGTAGATGAGAATTGATTGATCATGCGTGTTCTCATTTTGATTCCTAATTCCTATGAACAATATCCACAAGAGATGAAGAGAATGAGGTTGTGCTCCTACATTCTGTCTTCAATCTTCTTTTTGGATAAAAGTGTATCGGGTAGTACCATGATATTACTTGCCAGGAGCATCCTGATCTTTTTTTTTTTTCCTTATTGCATCAAACATCCTAATCTTTTTCTTTTTTATTGCATCAAGCTCCGTAATCTTATATTTAGTACATCCAGCACTGTGAAAATTAGGGTGCTAGATGTAACTGAAAAAACCACATCAAGATACTAGATGCATTGAGAAAATAAGATTAGAATACTGAAAATACACCTGAAAAATAAAATGAAGGTGCACCATTACCCCTTTTCTCCTTCCTTTTATTATTTATATCATACCCTCTACTTTGGAATGTATCGTCAGAATGTTTAGTCTCTTTATTTGTGACTTCATCCCTCATTTGTGGGTAAATAAAAAAATTTCACTGATTAATATCGATATAAAGTTTTTGACAAATACTATTTGTAAGCTATAAAATATTATTCATTTCTCAGGCTTTGTAATATTATATAAAAAAGGAAAAATTTATTATTTGATCCTTATACTTGTGATGTAATAGTGACTTAGTCTTTGAACTTTAGATCATATCATTGCATCTAGTTTAGTAATTTAAAAGAGTTTCCGAACTCTATGAAATAATTTTATTTTTTTTAAATGTAGGAACCAACATTTTATTATGTAATAATAACGTGAAAACTCTGCAATATATATGCTTTTATCCGGAAAATTTTTTATCATTATTTAATGTAAACTGCATTATATAACAATTTTATTCATTGTTAATTAACAATCACTTAAATTTTGAAATGTCTTGAGTGGATAAAATGTCATTTTATCAGAATAAAAAAAATATCACGCAAAACTACCAGGGAAAAAAGGGCAGCAATAGAATTTGAGATGGGTTGTGAATTCAACCAAAGGGCAATTCTCTTGAACAAATTTGAGATTTATGCTATATTTGGTTCAATAAAAGGGGAGAGAGATTTTTATGGGAGACATTTTAGCATTTTGTGAGAAGTGTCAATATCTCTCTTGACATTGCAATGACATTTTACGATTTCATAGCAAGTGTGAATATCTCTCTTTGGAGACACTTAATTTGGCTTAATAGAGAGGAAGAGAGGATCTTTTAGTTGGTTTAATCAAAGGGGAAGGGAGGTGGAAGATATTAAGGATTATTTGAGAATTTAACTTTATTAGAAGGATAATATTAAAAATAGTTAATTAGAAATCTATTCTCTGAAGGCCTCCATTTTTGAAGGAGAGGGAGGGAAGTGGAGTCATCAAAAAATATTCAACAAAAGAAATGGGATGAACTTTTATTAATTTTATCAGCTAAAAGTTTAAAGTTGGATTACAAAATAGTTTATTAAATGTAAATATCCTAATGTGACTGTGGGATTGATTAAAGAAGCAGAATTTTTCATGGGTATTAGTTACAAAACAGTAATAATCCTGTACATCAAGGAATCCTTTTTCAGCAGGAAATTAGAGAACCCAGATGCCTATTATATCTTTGACTCCGATCATTATTTGATGGTAACTATCTTTTTATTATATCAAGTCAAGCACATCAAGGAGTCTGCTGCAATGGCCAATCAGCGTTTTGATTTTCAATGAGCTTAAAGCCTAATAGAAATAATTCTCAAGTCAGGTTTCAAAGAGCACTTGCATAAGGCATACAAATATAAATTTTAGATTGCAATTTTTAAGTAAAAAACCAAAATTTGAAAGGTTAATTATTACAAAAGACTACTTTTATTATTTATTATGTTAATTTTAAAAAGGAAAAATTATTTCTCTTAATTTTTAATTTGATATAATTTTGCGCCATTAACTACTGTACATAGGTTAGCAAAATTATAGCGACTAACTGTGCTACAAAGTAAAATTAAAGAACTTAATTACAAAAATCACACAAGAACTAAATTAAAAATTGAGGATAAGTATTAAAAAAAATGCCAAAAGGTTTCGCCTCTCAACAAACTAAAATACAAAAATTTAAAATTCTATTGTGTTCAATTTATCAAAGTAAGGTGTCCTCAATATCCAAATCCTTCTGAAAAATGTTAACATGTGTGCACTAACAACAATTGGACAATCATAACAATACAAATATGTATAGGATTGAAGAGTTTACTGCAACATTGTCATCACCTATTAAAATCCTTCGAACTCTTTTTTACTGTTAACTGAACACTCAATCCAGAGTTCCGTCAGCTCTTCATTGTTGCACTAATGGCAGAGGTCAGGGTACTCTTGGATACTGACGTTGGAGCATTCATTGCACCTGATCGCTTTGATATGCTCAAGCGTCATTGCTCTCTCTTTCTCTCAATGCTTGAATTCACTACTAGCTACTTCCTATAAACATCAAACCAAAGTTGGCTTCTTTACTTACCAGCTAAGCTAACCCCCACAATTTCTCTCGATTGTTAGCTTTGTTATCATAATTCTTGCTCCTTAAAGTTACCATTAATCCAAGGAAATTGTTCCGTACTCCAGCTCTTCTTTCCAGCAGCCTGGCATAGACGTTAACATTAAAGAGCCTAGTTATACTGTATGATTGTTTCTCACTACTGCCTGTATTTTCATTTCTAGTTAAACAGACATGCTTTCATGAATTATTTAGGTGGTTCCTGCCCAAAAATGTTCTTCCCTCTTTTACCATTCGGAAGGTATTTGGGTTGGGGTGCTGGTGTGCAGTGCAGGCAGCTTCACTTGTTGGTTTGCAATTGTCAGCACACGTGCTTGTCTATATTTGCTAAAATTTTATGTTCTGATGTTATGATTGAATGAAACAAACAGAACAATCTATATTTTTTTCTCATGACCTAACAGCATAATACTTTATTCAGTGCGGAAGAATAAGGGATGATAAGATTAATATAATCAAAATATTACTAAGGCCATTTAAAGTTGGTAACGGCACACACAACCATCGAACAAAAAGATCCAAAATCCCAAGGGGACTAAAATGATCCTAATATACGATTGATGTATAATATGGCCCCTTCAACACCGATCTTCCCTACGCCGGACATACCTATTTCTATCATTGTATCTTGGTCTATCCTGGTGTCTCTACGGCTGCGACTCCACCCTTCTCTGTCTTTCAGGTGATCTCTGCACGATCTCCCTATTCACAAATAATTCAGCTACATCAAATTAGCTCGAAAACTCAATTAATCAGGGTATTAGGATGAAAGAAAGCCATCATCAATGGACCACCTTCACATGTAGTATGAATGCATGCTTGCACATAAAGCTTAAAGAAATATTGTAGCACAACCATTCCAATTTTCAAAGGACATAAAATTAATAAATATCATTACTGTTGCCATGGAAAAAGGATCGTACAGAGAAGGACTTGATGTCATACCGCCTCTAGTCCCTAATATAAGAACCAGTTAGGGATTGAATTTTGCCTTAAATATAAGATATCAATTCACTTTATCTCTTATCTTTCCCAAAAATATTCCTATTGATTATAAAAAGCTCCCACCAAGAGATAATTCGAATAATCCAATACATATGATTGATGAGGATAGCTTGGGGAGACCAACACACATTTGTGACAAATAATTAACCTAGCAAATTTTCTTAATATCCTCAAATTAGTTATCTAGCTCTTATATTAAGTAGAGGTAGTATAATGTATCTGCTCCAATGATTAGGAAACTCAATAGGTTGGCATTGTGACAGAATAAGATGAGCGCCAACTTTCATGGGAGTCCATTAGCATTCAAAGCTATTAGTTTTGCCATAATAGATTGCTGACAAGGAGGCAAAGCAAATTAAGAGCTTACAACATTGTCAAAGATTTCGATATTATGTGGGGGTACAAGGTCCTTGCATTCGTAGCTGATAACTGAGATTAAAATCAAACAACTTAAAATGCCCCAGCACGACTATGGAAAGAAAAATAGAATAGAGGCATTTATTTCTGATTAACAGCAGCATTTACATTGTGTCATGAACTGCTATCAAAATATCTCATCCAAATGAAATAACAAGAATAAATTTAATATTCAATCCAGTTTGTAACAACTATAGGCATAGCAAAGTATTAGTAACAGGGGAAAACAGATTCGAAGGGAAGGAAAGAAGAAAGCCACAGAGAGAGATTTCCCAGGAATGGGACCAGAGACAAAATCAAACAAATCATCCACATCCTTTTTCCATTAAGCCTCTTCTCTTGATATCTTCACTCACTTTCACCTAACTTTGTAACCACCTCATCACATGCATGTGCACACTCCACTCACTTCACACACGTGATATTCATTATTCATCCATTTGGTCTTCCTTTCATATACCATGACACGTTTTAAATGAACAATCACTCCAAAAAAAAAAGAACATGATTGAAAAATCAAAATTATCAGGAAGAGAAAAGAATGAAACAGAAGTGGAATTATCAGATTGAACCTGGCTGGTATTCTTCTAAAACACAAGAAAGCTTTTTAATACTTACCGCCATCATCCTCATTCTCTGGGTCAATGTATGAATCAGGGAGGACAAACAGTACGTCGGGCAACCCTATTGACCGAAAAGAAAACGATACATACAAATGTGAGAAATAAAGAAAAACTAAGGTCCTGAACATGCATACAGAGACAAATATTGAAGCAACTCTGCAAGAAACCTTCTAGTTTATTAGATGTCTCCTCGTCAATATCACCCCCAAATCCAAAGTAACTCTCACAAGAAACATTATAAATCCTCTTATTAGCTTCTGCTTCACTGAAAAATGAGAAGAATTGAGAATCAGGTGCAGTGAATAATGAAAAGTCAAGACGAAAATTTTCATTTTCTAAAGCAACGCAGCAAACAAATCAGTATACCTTCTGACAACCTTAGCAAGAGTTTGTATATAACAATCAATCATATGTTGTTTGGTAGCACCCTCTCTACCTGGATTGTCCATGACAATGAGTCAGTGCTCATAGTCACAACCGGGAAATAGTGGGGCTATCTCTGTGGGCAGTCGGTCACTGAAGTTGGAGCCCTAGTTGAGAGGCGAGTGGGTCGAGTTGCCGAACCGATTGATGCGGCATCGAACAGCAATGAAACGAACCAGAGCGAGCGAGCGCAATGCTTGAGAAAGTGGGTTGACAGATCTGCGAGCAGGGAGAGTGTTTGGAATAAGAGGGGATCAGGTGATGGACATGGTAGTGGTAGAGATAAGGTGTCTGGGAAGGAAGGCAGATAGGTAAGTAGAAGAAGAGCAAGAAGCTCGTGCTAAGGCGAGCGCCATTTCTAGAGGAAGAGGATGATCAGATAGGGTTTTGCTACCTTGCCTTTGGCCAGTCTCCTTTTCTCACGGTCGGCCACAAAATGCAGGGACTCTCCCAGTGAAGATTCGAACCTTGATTCGTCACATGTGGGTATCTCTCTCAGTAAAGATTCAAACCTTAGTTAGTCACATTGTGAGGAATTAATCCCTTCCGCTAGATCCAATCACGGTTGGTCTTTTCTTTATTAGTTTCTTTCAGTTGTAAGTATTGGTTCACATACTAGTAAATCGTAATCCATTAATCATGACTGATTAAGTGGCATATAAATTGTCACAAAAAAATTTAAAAATAAAATATATTTATTATCATCATAATAAAAAAATTAGGCTAAAGTATTGTCCTTTAACTTCATATAAAGTTTTAATTTAGTCTCTTAACTTTAACATGTATATTTTAGCTCTTTAACCCTAAAATCATTAAACTTAAATTATGATTTTTGTTAACAATGATAGTCATTTTAAAAATTAAACTTATATATGAGTATTTGAGAATATTTTATTAATATTTAATATTTCAAAATTAATAGATAAAATTAAAATTATGTATAAAATTAAAAAACTAAATAGATATTTTAGTTAAAAATTATTATAATAAAAATGGAGGCAAACAAGTTGAACGCTCTTTCCTTTGAGGGTAAGATTTTATGAATTGGCCATTCTATTGGGCTGAGATGCAAATATAAGAAGACTATGGCCATAATATCTTTGGCTTTAATATTCTCTTTTTTTGTTCATTTTGTCCCTTTTTTTTTTACTGGAAGTTCATTTTGTCCATTTAAAAAAAACGAAGAAAATTAAGTTACATGTAATTCCTTAAAAAAAATTTTCACTAGTACTCCCTCTAGTCCATCTGAGTTGAGAGTTGAGTAGGCCAATTGTTGGATCAGTTGCAGTGGCATCAGATGATAGTAAAAGAACTGAAGCAAGCAAGTGCAATGCTTGAGATAACAGATTAAGAGATCTACAAGGAAGAAGGATGGTTGGGATAAGAGGGGATTGAGTGATAGATATGGAAGTAGCAAAGAGAAGATGACTCGCAAGGAAGAAACAGAGGGAAGCAAAAGAAGGGCAAGAAGCTCGAGCTAGGGCGAATGCCATTCCCAATAAAAAGGATGATCAAATAAGGTTTTGTGGCCTTGTGTTCAGATTGTCTCCCTTTCTTTTCTTTATGGGATATCCCCCCTTCTTGTTTAAAAAAAAAAAAAATAGCTGAGTTGGGTTCTAGACTCACAGGGTTAGGGCAAGGCATACTTAGAGATGTACTTGTAGATTGTTCACTAATAAGGTCTTCACATTGATAACAATATCTAAAATTACGACCTTATAGATTCTGAGCTGGCTTTTTACCAATAAAACTAACTATTGTTGGCAATTTTTTTTTTTTAACAAGATAAGTTCATTAAAACACAATTAAAATGGGCTACAACATATTGGGCCACTTTACATGATTACTAGAGTTTAAGCACATTGTAGCCCAATCCTAAAGAGGAGAACAAAAGAAATAGAAGAAAACATTGTTATATATATTCAAAAATGCATCAAGTAACCAATAAGAGTTGGTTCAATTGATAAGAAATCAGCTCATAACTCACAAGATCGTGAGTTCAAATCTCCCTGCCATGTGAAGACCTTGTTGGTAAACAATCTATAAGTACCTCTGTAAGCACTCTCTTAGTCTAGAAGCATGCCTGGCTCTAGTAAGTTTTCAGGATCCAACTCACCTAAACTTTCTTGTAGCGAAAAAAAAAAAGAGCATCAAGTCACTAAGCAAAACAAAAATAAAACCACAAATTGAACCTAATAATTCAACAAATTTGTTTCGATTCTGTTAGATAATTGATTTTATTTAAAATAATAATAATTTGCTAATCCTTTTCAGTTTTCCCCCAATTATTAGTTCCTATGCTTACAAATCATGATCCACTAATCATGACTAATGTAAACGATGATTGAGCGGCATATAATTTGTCACAAAATATGAAATAAAAAATCAAAAAAATATTTTTTATCATCATAATAAAAAATTATTATACTCATGAATTTTTTAAAAAAAAAGGGACACGTCGTGCGCTCTTACCTTCAAGTCTGTGGATGAGATTTTATTGATTGGGCTTTCTACTGGGCTGAGATACAAAGACAAAGAGGACCGTGGCCCATAATGTCTCGGGCTTCTATATTTTTCATTTTTATTTATTTTGTCCATTTTTTTAAAAAAAATTAAGGTTAATACAAATTTTGGTCCTTCATATTTGCCTTCATTTTGATTTTGTTCTATCAAGTTTCAGACCATAGGTTTTAGTTCCTCAGGGGACAAAATGGTCTAAGTTTTTATTGGATTATAGAGACTAATATTATTAATAAAAAACACTTGAGGGACCAAAATCTATAATTTGAAATTTGAGATACCAAAACTAAAATAACAGCAAACTTAAGAGACTGGAGTTTGTATTGACCCAAAAAATTAAGTTACATTCAATTCGTTATAATAGTGTTTTCTAGTAGCACCTAATATCCTAAAATTTTTATTAGTGCATTCCCTACTTTAAAATACTTTTTCAGTAGTATTTAACATCCTAAATTTTTTTTTCAAAATTCCAACGAGTCTACTTCACTATGCCAAAATTCAGTTACAATATGTCTAGTAAAATCTTGAAATACAATAACACCCCCTTTGAGAAGCCACTGTAAATCATCAACGTGGGCTCATATTCAGAATTCTGAAAATAACCAGCGAGAAAAAAAAAATCTCAATGAAGGACTAAGATGATCTATTATTTGGTTTCTCAAAGGCCTGTTTGATTTCGAGGAAGGGACAAAAAGAAAAAAAAGATAGGGTGGAAAAGTTTTAACCTTATCTTATTTGGTTTGATTAAAAAAAAGATGGGAGGAATATTTAATGATCCCTTATTTAGTTCAAGAAAGAAGGAATGGATAATAATAATTAATTTACCCTTTTACCCTTACGTGTTAGTTTGTATTTTTATTTATATGTTATATAGAATTAATTTATAGCTTAATTAAAACTATATAATTTAATGAAAATCCAGTCTTGTCATATTAATATGTGTATTAACAAATCAGCACAATAATTTTTTACTCTAATTAATATGATAATATATTTAAATAATCAAATTAACAAATTTTATATGCTTTAAAAATGAAATTTTTGTTTTTTTACTATGCTTTTTCTTCTAGATTTAAACATATTTTAATTCATAAAATAATATATTTTTAAAAAATTAATTAAAATTTAATAATATTTTGTAATAATATTTTTTATTTTAAATTAAATTTTGTCATGATATATTTTTTAAAGTATAATAATATTTATTTTTTCTTTTTTACTTATAATAATATATTTTTATTTGAAATAAATTTTATAATAATATATTTTATGGGTACAAATAGAATATTACAAAAAATATAGGGATAAAATAGTCCAAAAATTTAACTTCCCTCCAAAAATCCCCAATTTGAAGGGAAGATAAAATGGAGGTAAGGAGGAACCCTCCAAAATTTCTAACTAAATGAAGGGAGGGGCTCATTTTTCCTCCAATCCACCAAACATGTCCTAAAACAATTGGCATCATGATGAGAATAAAACAACCTTAAAAAAAAATCATATTCGTATTTTAAAAGTATTTTAAGAAGATCAAGTAATATTTATTATAATTAAGTAATTCAACTAATTTTTTTAAATTTAGCCAATTTAATTAAGTAATTTTTATATTTAAATACAGGAGGAAGATCTCATTGTATCCCATTCAAGTTGCGTACCCAAAGTTTTCCGTTGTGCCCTGCCCATTTCCATGCTTGCTTGACTAACGAGTATTGAAAAAAAAGAAAGTTTCACTAATCATCTCTCCACAATCTCTTCCTTTTAAGGAAATATACCGTGCCATTAAATTAAGAAGTTATTGACTTGTTTGGAACCGTAGGTTTGCATGGTTCATTGGAATCACATCTCAAATTATTGAAATAAAAAGAAAAAGACCAAAAAGGCATCTAATATCATGATGTTATTTTTTACACACATCTAACACCCTAATCTCGTTTAGGGTTCATTTAGTACTATTATGATCCTTGATGTAGGACCTAATTATGCAGTTGATTTTAGTTTTAAATGTAAGACTTACTTCTCATATTTATTATTTTTTGAATTACTCTTATTGATACTCTCTCACCTATAATCAAGTAGAAGAGGGAATTATGGAGAATATTGAAGAAGATGATTAACGTATTCTTAAAAAAACATGTAATATATTTATTATAATTAACTAACTTCTTAACTTTCTTAATATAATCAAATTAGTTAGATAGGTACTATATAGCCATCAATTGCATTGAAGTTTTTGCGACCGAAGAACATCTTCCTATGATAGAATTACCTCCTTAAGCACCAAACTTCCACAACATGTTCTGCTTCTCCTTTCCTTGTTCAAAGTTCAAACCATCAATTCTAGTTGACAGCTGTCCCTAGCGTTTACCCACAAGTCCCCAGTCTTCCTTGGTCCACTTGATTACTGCTAGTAGCAAATGAAGCTATCAACATTTTCTTTCCAACCGCCCTCCTTACTCCACGTATCTCTGATAAATAAATCATTCAAAGCCATAATGGATCAGGGGACCCAAGATGTCACAAACCGATCGAAAAGGACATCAAACTTCCGTTATTATTGTAATAGTTTGGTCCATGGAGAAATCAATTGTTTTGATTAGAAAGCAGTAAATTTTTTCTACGTAAATGTCACTGTTCACCTATGAATTAAAGTTTGGAAAAATCCCAGAAAAAGCCCTTGGAATATACCAAATCTCAAATTGGGTCCTTAAAATTTGAAAATGACAGAATGGGTCATTGACCCAATCTGTCATTTGTGAAATTCAAGTGAATTGACAATTTTACCCCTAAACAAAAGTGAATAGTTATTCTCTAAACAAATCTAGGTAATGCTTATACTATTCTAATGATTACAAGATTCGTTGTAGTTAATAATAAGGTACCTGACAATAATAAGATATCTGACTATGAAAAAATGAGTAGTTATTCTCTACACAAATCTAGGTAATGCTTACATTGTTCTAGTGATTACAGAATTAGTTGTAGTTAATAACAAGACACCTGACTATGAAAAAGTGAGTAGTTATTCGCTACACGAATCTAGGTAACACCTAAACTCTTATAGTGATTCCTTGAATCATTGTAGTGAATGAATAAATGAGGGTAAAATTGTCAATTCGTCTGAATTTCACAAATGACAGATTGGGTCAATGACTCATTCTGTCATTTTCGAAATTTAAAGACCCAATCTGGCATTTCCTATATTCCAAGGACCTTTTTTGGGATTTTCCCTTAAAGTTTCAAGTTCTATAAAATTAGAATAAGTTGAGTTTGTCATTGACAAGATTCCATGCTAATTTTTTCAGCATCTTATATCTAAATATCACAAACTTTAATAATAACATTGATTCTTGAAAATAATTTCGAGTCAACATACATATTCTTGGACATACTATTGATTCTTAAAAATAATTACGACTTAACATTCAAATTCTTCAATATGCTTTCCCTTTAATCAATATAAAGGGAGCATGAATTAATGTTCCAAGTGATTATAAATCGAATTGGGTTGGGAGGTTATCACAGTCAATTGCTTCGGTCTCTACCTCTTGGTAAAAATATTTCTATTTCCTTAAATGAAAATTTAGTCCAATCATTTACCATGTGATTACTATGCACACTATTTATTGAATGTTGAAAGACTTAAGACAATTAATTGTGCGATTTTTCATTATTGACAAAATTGTAACTAGTTTCAAATATTAAAATTACTATAAAATTTACGGAAATTTGATAGATATATTATTATACAAATGATTACAAATAAAAAAATATATTTAAATTGATCGTAACTATTCTAAATTTTGATGGTAAAAACTAAATATGAGTAGTTAATAAATTTGAAACTAAAAAAAAAAATTAACGGTGTTTCATTTTACTTAACTGTTGGGACTAACGGATCCAATAATAGAAAATTAAAGGACTCAATAAAAAGAAAAGTAAATATAAGGACCAAATTCAAAATTGAAGATAATTATAACGGCTTCCAAATTAGTTTTCCCTAAAAAGAAAAAGAGTAAAAAGGCATCTAATATCATGATATTATTTCTTACATACATCTAACACTCCAATCTCGTTTAGGGTTCATTTAGTGCTCCTTTGATCCTTAATGTAGGATCTAATTATGGAATTGATTTTGGTCTTAAATTTAAGAATTATTTATCCTATTTATCATTTTTTTAAATTACTCTTATTGATACTCTATCATCTATAATCAACTAGAAGAGAGAATTATGGAGGATATTAAAGAAGATGATTAGGGTATTCAAAAAAAATATATAGTATATTTATTATAATTAACTAACTTCTTAACTTTCTTAATATAATCAAATTAATTAGACAGTATTATGCAGCCATCAATTGCACTTAAGTTTTTGTGACCGAAGAACATCTTCCTATGATAGAATTACCTCCTTAAGCACCAAACTTCCACAACATGTTCTGCCTCTCCTTTCCTTGTTCAAAGTTCAAACCATCAATTCTAGGGGGTCGGAATGTCTCCACAGTAGCGCTATTCCAAACCCTCAATTCTAGTTAACAGCTGTCCCTAGTGTTTACCCACAAGTGCCCGGTCTACCTTGGTCCACTTGATTACTTTTTTTGACCAGCTGGTCCACTTGATTACTACTGGTAGCAAATGAATCTTTCAACATTTTCTTTCCAAGCGTCCTCCTTACTCCGCGTTTCTCTGACAAATAAATCATTCAAAGCCATAATGGAGGAGACCCATGATGCCACAAACCGATCGAAAGGTCCATTGAGAAGGCAATTGTTTTGATTAGAAAGCAGTAATTTTTTTCTAGGTAAATGTCGCTGTTCACCGACGAATTAACGTTTCAAGTTCCCTAAAATTAGAATAAATTGAGTTTGTCAATGACTTGTGAATATAGAAGATTCCATGCTAATTTTTTCAGCATCTTATATCTAAATGTCACAAACTTTAATAATAACATTGATTCTCAAAAATAATTTCGACTCAACATGCAAATTCTTGGACATACTATTGATTCTTAAAAATAATTACGACTTAACATTCAAATTCTTCAATATGCTTTCCCTTTAATCAATATAAAGGGAGCATGAATTAATGTTCCAAGTGATTATAAATCGAATTGGGTTGGGAGGTTATCACAGTCAATTGCTTCGGTCTCTATCTCTTGGTGAAAATATTTCTATTTCCTTAAATGAAAATTTAGTCCAATCATTTACCATGTGATTACTATGCACACTATTTATTGAATGTTGAAAGACTTAAGACAATTAATTGTGCGATTTTTAATTATTGACAAAATTGTAACTAGTTTCAAATATTAAAATTACTATAAAATTTACGGAAATTTGATAGATATATTATTATACAAATGATTACAAATAAAATATATATTTAAATTGATCGTAACTATTCTAAATTTTGATGGTAAAACTAAATATGAGTAGTTAATAAATTTGAAACTAAAAAAAAAAATTAACGGTGTTTCATTTTACTTAACTGTTGGGACCAACGGATCCAATAATAGAAAATTAAAGGACTCAATAAAAAGAAATGTAAATATAAGGACCTAATTCAAAATTGAAGATAATTATAACGGCTTCCAAATTAGTTTCCCCTAAAAAGAAAAAGAGTAAAAAGGAATCTAATATCATGATGTTATTTCTTACATACATCTAACACTCCAATCTCGTTTAGGGTTCATTTAGTGCTCCTTTGATCCTTAATGTAGGATCTAATTATGGAATTGATTTTGGTCTTAAATTTAAGACTTATTTATCCTATTTATCATTTTTTTAAATTACTCTTATTGATACTCTATCATCTATAATCAACTAGAAGAGAGAATTATGGAGGATATTAAAGAAGATGATTAGGGTATTCAAAAAAAATATGTAGTATATTTATTATAATTAACTAACTTCTTAACTTTCTTAATATAATCAAATTAGTTAGACAGTATTATGCAGCCATCAATTGCACTTAAGTTTTTGTGACCGAAGAACATCTTCCTATGATAGAATTACCTCCTTAAGCACCAAACTTCCACAACATGTTCTGCCTCTCCTTTCCTTGTTCAAAGTTCAAACCATCAATTCTAGGGGGTCGGAATGTCTCCACAGTAGCGCTATTCCAAACCCTCAATTCTAGTTAACAGCTGTCCCTAGTGTTTACCCACAAGTGCCCGGTCTACCTTGGTCCACTTGATTACTTTTTTTGACCAGCTGGTCCACTTGATTACTACTGGTAGCAAATGAATCTTTCAACATTTTCTTTCCAAGCGTCCTCCTTACTCCGCGTTTCTCTGACAAATAAATCATTCAAAGCCATAATGGAGGAGACCCATGATGCCACAAACCGATCGAAAGGTCCATTGAGAAGGCAATTGTTTTGATTAGAAAGCAGTAATTTTTTTCTAGGTAAATGTCGCTGTTCACCGACGAATTAACGTTTCAAGTTCCCTAAAATTAGAATAAATTGAGTTTGTCAATGACTTGTGAATATAGAAGATTCCATGCTAATTTTTTCAGCATCTTATATCTAAATGTCACAAACTTTAATAATAACATTGATTCTCAAAAATAATTTCGACTCAACATGCAAATTCTTGGACATACTATTGATTCTTAAAAATAATTACGACTTAACATTCAAATTCTTCAATATGCTTTCCCTTTAATCAATATAAAGGGAGCATGAATTAATGTTCCAAGTGATTATAAATCGAATTGGGTTGGGAGGTTATCACAGTCAATTGCTTCGGTCTCTATCTCTTGGTGAAAATATTTCTATTTCCTTAAATGAAAATTTAGTCCAATCATTTACCATGTGATTACTATGCACACTATTTATTGAATGTTGAAAGACTTAAGACAATTAATTGTGCGATTTTTAATTATTGACAAAATTGTAACTAGTTTCAAATATTAAAATTACTATAAAATTTACGGAAATTTGATAGATATATTATTATACAAATGATTACAAATAAAATATATATTTAAATTGATCGTAACTATTCTAAATTTTGATGGTAAAACTAAATATGAGTAGTTAATAAATTTGAAACTAAAAAAAAAAAATTAACGGTGTTTCATTTTACTTAACTGTTGGGACCAACGGATCCAATAATAGAAAATTAAAGGACTCAATAAAAAGAAATGTAAATATAAGGACCTAATTCAAAATTGAAGATAATTATAACGGCTTCCAAATTAGTTTCCCCTAAAAAGAAAAAGAGTAAAAAGGAATCTAATATCATGATGTTATTTCTTACATACATCTAACACTCCAATCTCGTTTAGGGTTCATTTAGTGCTCCTTTGATCCTTAATGTAGGATCTAATTATGGAATTGATTTTGGTCTTAAATTTAAGACTTATTTATCCTATTTATCATTTTTTTAAATTACTCTTATTGATACTCTATCATCTATAATCAACTAGAAGAGAGAATTATGGAGGATATTAAAGAAGATGATTAGGGTATTCAAAAAAAATATGTAGTATATTTATTATAATTAACTAACTTCTTAACTTTCTTAATATAATCAAATTAGTTAGACAGTATTATGCAGCCATCAATTGCACTTAAGTTTTTGTGACCGAAGAACATCTTCCTATGATAGAATTACCTCCTTAAGCACCAAACTTCCACAACATGTTCTGCCTCTCCTTTCCTTGTTCAAAGTTCAAACCATCAATTCTAGGGGGTCGGAATGTCTCCACAGTAGCGCTATTCCAAACCCTCAATTCTAGTTAACAGCTGTCCCTAGTGTTTACCCACAAGTGCCCGGTCTACCTTGGTCCACTTGATTACTTTTTTTGACCAGCTGGTCCACTTGATTACTACTGGTAGCAAATGAATCTTTCAACATTTTCTTTCCAAGCGTCCTCCTTACTCCGCGTTTCTCTGACAAATAAATCATTCAAAGCCATAATGGAGGAGACCCATGATGCCACAAACCGATCGAAAGGTCCATTGAGAAGGCAATTGTTTTGATTAGAAAGCAGTAATTTTTTTCTAGGTAAATGTCGCTGTTCACCGACGAATTAACGTTTCAAGTTCCCTAAAATTAGAATAAATTGAGTTTGTCAATGACTTGTGAATATAGAAGATTCCATGCTAATTTTTTCAGCATCTTATATCTAAATGTCACAAACTTTAATAATAACATTGATTCTCAAAAATAATTTCGACTCAACATGCAAATTCTTGGACATACTATTGATTCTTAAAAATAATTACGACTTAACATTCAAATTCTTCAATATGCTTTCCCTTTAATCAATATAAAGGGAGCATGAATTAATGTTCCAAGTGATTATAAATCGAATTGGGTTGGGAGGTTATCACAGTCAATTGCTTCGGTCTCTATCTCTTGGTGAAAATATTTCTATTTCCTTAAATGAAAATTTAGTCCAATCATTTACCATGTGATTACTATGCACACTATTTATTGAATATTGAAAGACTTAAGACAATTAATTGTGCGATTTTTAATTATTGACAAAATTGTAACTAGTTTCAAATATTAAAATTACTATAAAATTTACGGAAATTTGATAGATATATTATTATACAAATGATTACAAATAAAATATATATTTAAATTGATCGTAACTATTCTAAATTTTGATGGTAAAACTAAATATGAGTAGTTAATAAATTTGAAACTAAAAAAAAAATTAATTCAGAAGCCATCTGAATGTCAATTTATAAGTCCCATCTAATTACCTAATAGAATTAAGAAAAGGTTATTCAGTTGTTAACTTTGCCTGATATGAATTTTTTCCTTTTGACTCATAATTACTAGCATAGAAAAACACGCCATTAGACTTCAGACTTTAGGAGGTTGCACATTGATGATCCTGCCAATATATGGTGTTGTAATATTCCACGTGGCTTTTGTGCTTTTGAGAACGTGGTCAGAGACTCGGCTCCTGGTCTGTGGATGTATATGTATACGCATGCACTAACATATAGATATTCTGCAAAATCCTTAGAGCAATCCCCGTATGTATATCCATTTTGATATCTCTAAATCTCTATTAGTTTGTTGTGCTTCTAAATTATAGCAAGCTATATATCTTACAATTGCGTGCGCGCACACACATCCATGTCTCTGTCGTCTCCTTCTCCTTCTTCTGCTTCACCGGTCTTGGTTTTTGCAATTGCTTCCGCTTTTTATGTGTGCTTGGCTGGGGTAGTACAAGCTCAAATCCCTCCTACAGATCCTTCCGAAGGTATCTACGTGCTTTCACTAATAGATACTTCTCTCTTAATAATCTGTCTCCTATATATCCAGTGGACGGTGAATTATTATTAACATTTAATTAATAATTTGGGTAGCGAAAGCTTTGAATTCAATCTTCAACAAATGGAATATATCGCCAGTAGAAACTGTATGGAATATAAGCGGCGAGATATGCAGCGGACAAGCCGTCAACAACGCTACCTCCATTGATGATTTCTTCAGTCCATTTATCAAATGCGACTGTTCCAGTGGCACCACTTGCCACATTTATGCACTGTCCGTATAATTTGATGTCTCTCTACTTAGCTTGATTTTTCTTCATCATGTTGTTAATTACTTATTGCCTTATATATATATATATATATATTGTTGATCTTGTTCTGGCAGGAGTCTTTATCAACAGGACGTTGTTGGCCAAATCCCACCAGAGCTGTGGACTTTCACTCACCTCACCTATTTGTATGTTTTTTTTTTAATTATCTCCTCCTCAGTGGCTTCTCCAGAAACTTAAAAGCATCCATATGCTTCATATTTATTATTATTATTATTTTGGATACATGCTTCATATTTATTCTAATGTTTCCTCAAATTAAATGGCCATTATCAGGAACCTAAGCAGGAATTACTTGACGGGTTCTGTAGCTCCAGCCATCGGAAATCTAAGTCGGCTGCAGTCCTTGTAAGGCCAATTAATCAGAAAGTTATAATGCTTCCTGTGCCTAGGGATCCTCTCAGTTTCCGTTCGGGAAAAGATGGTCATTTTGAGGAAATTTATTAATGTTCAATGAATTTGGATATACCTACAGTTTTAATGTGTTGATAATATTAAATTAAAAAATTAAATCAACTAATTCCTATATTTATGAGTCATTTATCAAATTTTAATTGTAGCTAACTTGGTCTTTACAATTTTAACTCAATTAAAACTTAATTTATGAACTTTGACTTGGTGCAACTCATTTATCATGATTTTAGCCAGAGATAAAGTGCTTAAATACTCTGGAAGTATCTACGAAAGAGCACCAGTGCCTGAAATTTTTTTTTTCCTCTTATATGCCTTAGAAGTTTTATTTCATTGCAAAAATATCCAGGTTGTTATTCACCTTTGAATTTGATTGTAAAATTATGCGGTTTAACCAGTGCTTTTAACAGTTAAACTTAACGACGAATAATGGTACATATCAAAAATGCTATGAAAATAAACTGTTAGAGCATATAACAGGCAAAAAAAATTTCCAGTACTTGGTGCTCTTCTATGAATATTTTTGGGGTGTTAAGCACCTTATGCCTTTTATCTATTTAAAATGTTGGCCCCATATTTTTGAAAGTAAACTAAAGTTATATATCTTTTGAAATGTAGGACTATTGTTTTAAATGATTAAAATTATTCAGGGACTAAGTTCTACTAAGGTAAAGTTCAGACAATAAGTTTTAACCAAGACAAACAAAAATTAAGCAACTGAATTTCAATCAAATCAAAATTATAAGAATCAAATAATTAATTTTCTTAAGAAAAAACTTAGACTGTTGGTATCAATATGATGGAAAGACTTGTTCAAAATGACTCATGTTCCTATCTTAAATAGATAGAATCCGGAACTTGCTTGTTGTCAGTCATGATACATCCTTAGGAACTTACTTGCACTTTTATATGAATTTCTCGCAATTAGGGGTTTGGGTGACAATGCTCTATCTGGGAAGCTTCCAAAGGAACTGGGAAGTCTTACTGAGTTAGTATCATTGTATGTTATCCTCTTTCCCTTAATTATAACAATTTTCCATAGATTATGATTGCATCGTTTTATTTACAAATAGTACTTAATATAAGATCTAGTTTGTATGTTAAAATCTGTTGGATTTTGGGCTTAGATCAGCTCTTGATAGGCCGGATTATTTGATTAGATGTTAGAGAATATTCCAATCAAATATTTCAAGGAAGATTATAATTAGTTTGACTAGGTTAAATAATTTGAATTGCAAATCTAGTCTTATAATATAAGTTAAATTAATTTATATTGTTCAAATTAAATATATATTAGAGAAATATATATATGTTGAGTTCTCCGACTATCTCTCCTTCTTCTCTAATATTCTCTTTTGTGCAGTACTCTGCTGTGCCACTCAAATTTGGGTTCTAATAGTCTAAATTTTGTGTGAATCGGTAGATCAACTTGTAGAGCTTTAAAGGAATGATCTAGATCCGACCTGATACGTGCTTCCTAGTTTATATTTAATTTCTCTAACAAAATCGAAGGAAGGTAGTATTTGTTTTCTTGATATTAATGAATTACAATAAGTAATAACTAGGAGTTAATCAAAGACCATCGTGTTTAAGAAGATAATGTTTTTTATGGAAAATATATATTGATGAACGATGATACTATCAGCATCCACTTTATTCTTTGCGAATTAATTATGCAGGAGTCTTGGAACAAACAACTTCTCAGGTCCTATCCCTTCCAAACTAGGCAATCTAGTGAAATTGAAAGAACTGTAAGTTCCACTAGTCTTTTATCCACATATCTATGTCTTTTAAGGTAATGTGTGGCACGAGGGAAATGGAGGGGAGAGAAAAGGAAGGAAAATATTAATAAGCTCTATTTAAGAAATTAAAGAAGTGGGTTTTAAAATTTTAATAAAGAAAAGAAGTAATACAAACAAATAATAAAAATTAGTTAAAAGCTTTTAACCCCATTTTTTTTAATTGTTTAAATCGAGCTTATTAAAATATTTCCTCTCCTCCCCTTTTCTCATTTTCCTTTATATCAAATGGACCCTAAATTGAGTAAACCAGTAAAAATATGCAGATTTTATACCGGTTTGACTAGTTATAAACCAGTTCAAACTGGTTCTTAGTCCTCTTATCAATTCATAATCGGGCACTAAGCTGGTTTCCAATTCAATTCTGTCAAATTCATTCAATTTAGCATGTTTTTTATTTCATGTGAATGGAATCAATTGATTGCCGTCGAGCCTCCTTAGTGGCAAATAGGGTGAGTGTGTAGCGCTTGTGACTCGTTAACAAAGATGAAGAAGAGAAACGGTATTTATGAGCTGTCAAATAAATCCAGGTGGCACATGTTAATTAGAAAACTGGACAGATTAGATATAATAGAATAGATGTAAGTTTTGTCCAAAACTTTGATGAGATTTAGACCATTTAAATCTAATTTAAGCGGTCCAAATTCAAAAACTTTTTATTCGTGATTTTTTAAATGATAGATTATTTTTTTGAAAAGTGATAGTTATAAGATTTTTTTTATTTTAAATTTTACATATATTAATTAAATTATTAAATTTGGACCGTCCAATTGGACTGTCCAGATGAGTGATGAGCACAAGATGTGCTCTGGTTTCAGTTTTAAAGATGTTCTTTTAATAAGCTAAAATTTCCAAAAACAAAAAAATAATAGCATAGTTAAAATAATTATTTAACACAATTGTTAAAATTGAATATTATAGAAAATTTCCTTTGTCGGCTAAAAAAAAAAAATATGGGCATTAAGCAGATGCAATTGATGATATTAACCTAAATATTTATTATTTAGTAAAAGCAAAAAAAATACATTTACAAGAATAAATAAAAATGTAAAATTAATGAAAATAACAATATATGTATAAATCACTTAAACATATAATGTTAACAAATAACAATATTATGAAATTTAATATATATGAAAAGTAGTATAAACTTATATATATATATATATATATATATATATATATAACATTAATTTTGTGTGATCCAAAGATCTTATAAATTTCAATGAATATTTCTCTGCAGCCTCCTAGATAGTACGGGATTTAGTGGTCCGATTCCTTCAACTCTGGCTAATCTTAAAAACCTGGAAATGCTGTAAGATATCCATACTACCTTTTTTTTTTTTTTGCCCTGGCATTCAATAACTAAAATTTTTCCTGTTTGTCCAGATGGGTTACAGACTTGGAGCACGCAGGAAGTATACCTGACTTCATAGGAAGTTTGTCTAACCTTACAGACTTGTAAGACTACGCTGGGTCTTTAGTATTAAAATATGGCTTTAGGAGGACTCCTTCTGTTATAGTATTTTCTTTCATCATGAAGGAAAAGTTATCAATGTCTCAAGGTGAATGGGTACTCACTGAATAGACTTGCTTTGGTAGGAGGCTCCAGAGTAATTCTTTCCAAGGCTCAATACCATCATCATTGGGCAATTTGACTTCTCTTAGGAAGCTGTAAGCACCATAACTATTTGATTGCACTCTGCAGATTGATACGTAGGAGTAAATTGTTGAATAATGCATAACTCATCAAATGTAGGAAAATAACTAGCATGCATAATGGGAGTTCCTCGTTGGCATTTATAAAGAGTTTGAAGTCTGCCACCTCGATGTAAGTTGTGAGGCAATGGCTCCCCTCATAATTCACAGTTTGCTTGCTAGATAGAGATATTCCTCCCCCCCCAAAAAAACTCCAATTTCTTTCTAGTATATAATAACAATTTGTTTATAAATCTTGCAGATATTTGAAGAATAACAATATTTCTGATTCACTTCCTTCCAATATGGATGAATTATTTCCGATGTTGATCCACTTGTGAGTATTAGCCATATACGTGGCTCTTCGGATGCATATATGTCAAATAGCATGCTTAGAAGAATATCACTTTCACATTGGCATCAAGATAGTAGTTGTAGTAGTAATAGTACTTGTTTGTTTTATTCAATGCTCTTGAGTTTTTTTTTCCCAATTATATATGCATGTGTTGGTTCTTTCAGGGACTGGCGCTTCAACAATATCATGGGACAGATTCCAAATTCACTTTTTCGCATGCCTCAACTAGAAATATTGTAATTAATATATATCCTGTGCCTAAGTAATTAAATTAAGGATTTCCTTATTAATTGCAAGTTTTCATTATTGGATTAAAGCATGGTTCATTTTT